TCACCTTGACCCAAAACCTCTCCATGAATTATTCCTTTAACTATTTTTTTGTTTTGTTTTGTTTTGGAGACAGGGTCTCACATTGTTGCCTGGACACCAGGCCAGCGGCATGATCATAGCTCACTGCAACCTCATTAAAGCAAAATTAAAGCTTTAAAGCTATGTTCCCCCTTAGTGGGTGGCCTTCTGTGTGGTCATTTAGGGACTTAGGCTCCTTCTATAGTTTGACTGCCCTCCTGTAGGGTTCAGTGTCCTCTGCATTCCCTGGTGGGGTAGGGGAGCTGATGGAGAATTATCTGTGGGGGGCTTCTTTCCACTCCTGTGCATTGACTGGAAGTTAATTATCACGTAGACATACTTAAGGAAGAGAGGCTGAGACGTACAGTCAACATTTGTCCATAAATAAGAAGAAATGTACCTGGTGACTTATTATCTGGTCTTTGCCACATGTAGTAGGGTCTACCTTCAAATTTTTTTTTATCCGACCACATTGCTGCTATCTTACTTCATGCCACCTTCATCTCTCAACTGGGCTACTTACTGCAAGTTCTCCTAACTAATCTCCTGCTTTTGTTCTTTCATTCCAATTTCCACATAGCAGCCACAGTGATTTCTGTTAGAATGTAAACCAGATTCTATCATGTCCCTGCTTAAAATCCTCTAGTGGCTTCCAGTTACACTTAGAGTAACAGCCACACTCTTTATGGCCTACCACTCCTTCCCCACAGCAAGTATAAGAATCTTTATACTTGCTGTGTCTTCTCTGTGGACATTCTTCTGCCTAAGGTTATCTTATTTTTCTGCTTTAATGTTGTTATCTATTTGCTGTGTAACAAACCACCCCAAAGTTTAATGGCTTTAAACAACACTTTTATTATCTTTCTTGAATCTATGGGTTTATGGGGTTTGACTGGCCTCAGTTGGATATTTCTTTTATTGTATATGATGTTGGCTAGGTCACCAAGTTGGTCACCAAGAGATTGGACTGGAACCACCTAGATGGTTCATTCACATGCCTGGCCATTGATGTTGGCTACAGGCTAGGAGCTCAGCCTCTCCACGTGGCTTGGCCTTTTTACAAGGTGGCAACTGGGTTCTATGAGGGGATATCCCAAGAGCAGATGTTCTGTGTTAGGGTTCTCCAGAAAGAACCAATAAGAGAGAGGGATGGATGGGTGAAAGGGGGGGAGGGGTTGTTAGGGGAATTAGCTCTTGTGATTATGGAGGCTGAGAAGTGCCATGATAGGCTGTCTGTAAGGTGGAGACCCTGGAATGCCAATAAGCCTGGTTCAGTCCATGTCTGAATGCCTCAGAACCAGGGAAACTGATGGTATAATTTTCAGTCTGAGGCTGTAGGCCTAAGAACCTGGGGGGAGTCCTCCATTGGTGTAAATCCTGGAGTCCACAGCCAGAGAGCCTGGATTTCTGATGTCCAAGGGCAGGAGAAGAAAAGTGTCCCTGCTCTAGGAGAGAGATAGGAAATCACCTTTCCTCTGCCTTTTTTGTTGTATTAGGGCCCCCAGCTGACTGGATGCTGCCTGCCCACATTGAGGGCAGATCTTCCACACTCAGTCCACTGACTCATGAACTGATCTCCTCTGGAAATACCACGTAGACACATCCAGAAGTAATGCTTTACCAGTGCTGTAGGTATTTCTTAGTCCAGTCAAGTAGACACTTAAAATTAACCATCATATGTTCCAAAGGGAATAAAGTAGAAACAGGTAACCTTCTTCCAGGCTAGGCCCAGAACCAACACAATATTTTGGTAAAATAGTGAGAGGGCCAGCCCAGATTCAGAAGGGGAAATAAACTTTGTCTCTCAATGGGGGAGCATGACTGAGAATTTGTGGCCATCTTTAATCTGATCAGAGGCTTTCCCTGAAATACCCAACATAGCCTAATTCATCTGTACCATTGTCTTGCTTTATCATCTTCTTAGGATTTATCACTATTTCAATTTTTTTGTGTGTGTATATACTCCCACAAATACACGTCACTCTTTCAGACTGAGTACCATATCCTTTTTCTACTTCAGCCTCTTCCTTGGACTCTCTAAATTCAGTTTTTTCCTCATTCTGTAATCTCTATCTATATATATATGTAGATAGATATAGATAGTTGTTGCCAACTTATTCTTCTTCCTCCCTAGAATGTAAACTTCTTGAAGAAAACCTGACCTGGCCGTGCGGGATGGCTCATGCCTGTATCCTAGCACTCTGGGAGTCCGAGGCAGGGGGATCACTCAAGGTCAGAAGTTTGAACGCCTGAGCAGAGCGAGACCCGTCTCTTATAAAAAATAGAAAAAATATTGGCCAACTTAAAATATATCGAAAAATTAGGTGGGTCATGGTGCCACAATGCTTTATTCCACTACTGGGAAGGCTAAGGAGAAGGATTGCTTGGAGCCAGAGTTTGAGGTTGCTGTAATGCTAGGGATGACGCCACACTCTAGCCTAGCAGGCAACAGAGTGAACTCTCTCAAAAAAAAAAAAGTGGAAACTGCTTGAGTCTAGTTTCCTACTATCCCTGTCACTTAAGATAGTGTCCAATACACAGTATGTATTTAGTAATGCTGAACGAATGAATGGTGAACTTTTTCCCCCAAACCATACTCTCATTCTGAATTTCTTTTTTAAGTTAATATCACCTTTTTTGTTACTGCTAGGCCTTAAAATCTTGAAGCCATGTTTGTCATCTTTCTTTTCCTTTCCTTCTATGTGCTGAACGTCTGTTAGAGATTTAGGTCTTCAAATGTGCCAGTGTGGTTTGCTTTTATTGTGGGACAGGGCGGGCTTGTAGAGGCGTGAACCACGGTGCTTTTTTCTGAGTGTACGGACGCTCTTTATGGCTGTGAGGGGTAACGGTGGTCGTCGGCACATGTCACGAGATGCAGACGTGTGGCAGTAGTAATCGGGACGTATTGGTTATCCGGTGCCGGCACAGAGATGGTGTGTCACCGCAATCGGGTTGGTAGTTGTTAGCAGATTGACTTTGGGTGAATTCTGCTGTTTACTGTTGGCAGTGTTTTCAACCCACTCTCGATTCAGACATTCACACCATCCATCTTGCTTTAATTTATGAAGCATGGGGACGAGCGTTACGCTTGCTCCTTATGTATGCCTATTTGCCTCACTATGTAGCCTCTTAAATTTGGCATCTTAAATTCTGTTTCCATACCATTCTCCATGACATTCGTTTCCAGTTTTTCCAACCAGATGTGGCTGTGGTTCATCCTTGGGACCTCTATCCTATTGGGCAGCTCACTCATGGACCGAGAGTCAGTACCGATCGGGGATCGGACGTCTCTTTTGCTGGGGCCGTTAATAAATGGGCGGGCATATTTTACAGGCTGAAGTCTGATGAGCAGGACACTGCCACTGGGGGCTGACGGGACCGCCGATGTCGAGCTGGGAAGACAGAGGGGGCAAGTTGGAGAGTCATGCGGAAGGCTGACTTTGGGTGTTTGGGGCAAGATGGTGGTGACTTTCCTGGAGACAGTTCAAGATTATACGGGGTGTGTACCAGATGGTAGTGAGGCAACCGTGAGGATGGCGGGTTGGACTACAGGGGGTCGTGTACGTAAAATTCAAGTGGTAGTCCCAATCGGATTCTGATAATTGGTCTGGGATGTGGCTAGGGCTTGGAATTTTGGAGCTCCTACAGTGTTCAATGTAGAGCAGGTGAGGCTAACTGTGGTATATTAATACGAAGGCAGCCAGGTAAGCTGGCAGTGGCATCTGTGACGAAGAGTTGACTCGGTTTTATTGGCGGGTACGCGATTAGGGGATACGGTAGCAAGCAGCGGACGGAAGCAGGAGCAGACGGGGGAACAGAGGGGGTGTATTTGATTTAGCCTGCATCTTTTTTTTAGGACAGAGTTCCATTTCTTCCCCAGGCTAGGATGAGTGCCCTGGTAGCATAGTCACAGAACTGAACTCGTGGCTCAAGCAATCCTCCTGCTCAGCCTCCGAGTAGCTGGACTTCAGGCATAAGCACTAGCCCGGTAATGTTTTCTATATGGGATATATAGTTGGCATTAATTTCTTTTATTATAGTTAATAGACGGTCTCACTCTTGCTAGGTTGGTTTGAAACTCTGAGCGTCAGGAGACACGGGGTCCACCATCCGTTGGCTCCAGGAGCTAGGATTACAGCATGAAGCCACTGCTCCAGCCCCACCCTTTTTTTTTTTTAATAAAAAAGAGAGTCTTGCACTGTCACCCATGCTAGAGTGCAGTGGCTTGATCATAGTCCACTGAAGGGTCAAACTCCTAAGCTCAAGTGATCCTCCCCTGTCAGGCTCCCAAGTAATTTAAACTATAGGTATGTGCTGTCACACCTGGCTAATTTTAAAATATTTTTGTAGAGACAGGGTGTTGTGTTGCCCAGGCTGATCTCAGACCCCTGGACTCAAGTGATCTTGGAACTCCTAAAACCCTGGGATTACAGGCGTGAGCCACCACGCCTTTTATCCATTCATCAGGATGGAAATTTGAGTTGTTTCTACCTTTTGGCTATTAGGAAAAATGTTGCTATAAACATTCATGTACAAGTTTTTGTGTGGACATAATATTTTCATTTCTCTTGTGTGTATTACCTGGGAATAGAGTTGCTGGGCCACATGAAAAATACCTATTTTCTTATCATCTCAATGAGAATATTGTGCATCTGTGTATATTTTTTATATGTGAATACCATTTTACTAGTTTTATTAGTTCCTATCCATAAAGTGTTTTCTTTCTTTTTTATTTATTTTTTTTTTTTTGAGACAGAATCTCACTCTGTTGCCTGGGCTAAGGGCTAGAGTGCTGTGGCATCAGCCTAGCTCATAGCAACCTCAAACTCCTGGGCTCAAGCAATCCTTCTGCCTCAGCCTCCCAAGTAGCTGGGACTACCGGCATGCACCACCATGTCCAGCTAATTTTTTCTATATATTTTTTAGTTATCCAGCTAATTTCTTTCTATTTTTAGTAGAGACGGGGTCTCGCTCTTGCTCAGGCTGGTCTCGAACTCCTGAGCTGAAACGATCCACCTGCCTCAGGCTCCCAGAGTGCTAGGATTACAGGAGTGAGCCAGCACATCCAGCCATAAAGTGTTTTCTTAACACTAAAAGGAAGTAGGTATATTGTTTTTATTACAGAAAAATCTATTTTAAAAATACTTATATTTCATTATATGTATTAAACATTTTTTAACCTTATACAGGATGCTGTATTCTTTGCTCCTTTGTGAATGTCTGTTGCTGATAGCTGGTTATGCTCATGATGATGAATGGATTGACCCCACAGACATGCTTAACTATGATGCTGCTTCAGGAACAATGAGAAAATCTCAGGTATTAAAAAAATGCCTGTGTGTATGAGACCTTATCAGTCCCATGATGGAAATACCGTGTTTCCCTGAAAATAAGACAGAGTCTTATATTTATTTTTCCTTACGAAGACACCCTCGGACTTATTTTCAGGGGATGTGTTATTTTTTTTAAGTATGGTACAATCTACATTTATTCAAATATAGTTGTTCTTCATAACTCTCCAAACAAACCCTGAATTCCATCCTGAATTTCTTGCGACTCTATTTCCTTTATAACCATTGGCCCCAATCTCTCATGTCGAGCAACAGAGCTCTCATGGGGCAGATGAGAAGGGCTGCTCAAGATGAGAAGGGCTGCTCATCTACTTTACCGCTCCATGACAAAATGCATGGATTGGGCAGATGGGCTTCGTAGCCGCTCCCATCACTAGGTCTTATTTCCAGGGGTAGGGCTTTTATTGCACAAATGCTTAGAAATCCTGCTAGGGCTTATTTTATGGATAGGTCTTATTTTTGGGGAAACACGGTAGTCTACTTTTGTTACTGTTTTACACAGAGCTATGAGAGTCATGTATCAATGATTAGCTGTTATGCAGAATACTTTCTTGACATTCATAATCTAAGATTATTTCAAACCCACATTGAATTTGTGGGTTTGCTCATGATGCAGCAAACTAATTTGATTTTAATTCTTAGTATATACATTAAGCAGCAAACTGACTTTAATTCTTAGTATATACATTATGCAGCAAACTAAATTGATTTTAATTCTTAGTATATACATTGGAGACTTTCACTTTTTTTGTGGTTCACTACAGTTGAAGACTGTAACAAGCAGAATCATAAAATGATGAAATCAAAATCTTAGTCTTCATTAACTGAAGGTTATTTTTACAACTGAACAAAGAAAATCTCTCTACTTTGTTTTAGGTGAAATATGGTATTTCAGAGAAAAAGGATGTGAGTCCTGACTTGTCATATGCTGATGAAATTTCAGAATGTTATCACAAACTTGATTCTTTAACTCATAAGGTTAGATTTTCTTCATTCATAAATTTTATATTAAATTGCTCTGTTTTCTTGTATTTGGTAATATTATTTGTTTCTAGTGTTTTTATGTATGATATGATTTATATATATAAAATTTTTCTTTAGTTACTCTAGCCTTGATTTCTCTTTAGTCTTGGTTTCTCTAACAGTACCTTGTATTTTTCTGTAATAATGTTTATCTCACTATATTATAATTATTTCTTTGCCAGACTAAACTTCTTGGCGCAAGGAATATGTTTTATTCATCGTAATTCTCCATCAGTCACAGCACAGCGCTGGAGCATAGTATACTCTCAACAAATGTAGCAATTGAAGAAATGGGCGTATTACCAGCTTATAAGCATAAGAGTTACTCTTACAAATATAAAGGATTATTAAGATTTAGTGTGTAATAGCTATCATTCCTTCATTTATCCAATCCATTTTTTTTTTTAATGTAGCTGAAGTAGGGTTTATACAAAAGGAAATAAGTCAAGGTTAAGGGATTTGAATGTATTCATTATTTGCTGTGTGAACCACCCTCTGTTGGTTGTGTAGGCAGAGTGGACTGATAGCAATGTAGAGGGGGCCTGGAATGGAGAGCAGGGTGGCAATGAGATCAGCAGGGGTTACAGATGTCCAGTAATGCTGAAGGCTCAAAATGAGGCAGTGATAGGGGTTGAAGATAAGAGGCAAGTATAAAACTTTTACAAGGTAGAATAGACAAAGGTGGATGGCTGAGGGAAGGCAGGGATAAGGGATAGAGAAGAGCCAGAGTGAATGGGTGAGGTTCCTAGCTGGAGAGACTGGGAGAGTTTGTTAATTGAGATCCAGAAATATCCCAATCAAGATCTATAATCACCTGCTTGTGGTTCTTTTTAAATGTGAATATTGTCTCACCTAAGTGCTAGCAAAGAAATGCTTGGATAAAATTTGCTTCACTTTGTGTATTATGATATAGTGAGCTAGTCTGGTTGCACAGTAAGAAATCCAGAAATGCCTTTTTACAGAAATTTTTTATTCCATTGTTTTTGACTTTGTTTTAACATGATTGGCAAAATGGACTCTTGAGTTCTTGTTTTTTTGTTTTTTGTTTTAAAAAGTTGTTCTCTTAACCGCTGTTAGTGTGGCGGGCCAAAATACCGGCTTTTGCATCTAGGGCGCAAAAGCTGATATTTCGGCCCACCTCACTATAGAGGGTTAATATATAAAAAATGACTTACAAACCGTGCCTGTTGTTTAACTTCTTGAATGTCCTTCTATACTGACTAAGTGTGTGTGCTGTTCAATTACTGTCATGTTTATCAACTGAAGCCCATTTCAGTGCTCAACTCAACGGATGGCTCACACTCGGTTAAAATACAAGTTATCACAAAGTTACTTTAATGTTTGTAAACTATCTACTACCTTCACCCAGCAACTGGACCCGCTGTGGTGGTGGTAGAGCTAAGTTCAGAGGAAGTCTGCTCTAATGCAGAGTTATATACTGAAGGGTTACCACGTGTAACCCTAGAGAAACTATGGTTTCTGCCTTCCTGAGCATTCTATATAGTATAGGATGATTAATTGCTGATGGAAAAATTAATAAAAGGCCAAAAGTAATAGGCACATTTAAGAAATTCTTTGCTGTGTCCATTTCATCTTCTGGCTTAATCTTGTCTGTATTTCTTCATCTCTTTGTCTCTATGTGTATTTATCCTTCCTTCCCTTCTTTCCCTCCTTTTCTCCTGTTAAATCGATGCTTTGGAATTAGAAAGCAGCAAATTAGTTCAGATGCTCTGTTTGTGGATCTCTGTCTCCTTGCTTCGTGATCTTCAGCTTTAAAATTGCTGAAAGTCAACAGAAAAACTGCTAGGTCAGGACTAAGTACGGGACATGTGTTTTTTATTTGTTGCCTACTTGCCCTTTGCAAAGAGAACACATGGGAAGTAGGCAAACCATACGCTGTAATGTAGCTGATAAATGGAAGCTTGATAAAAACAATTAGCTCCTTACCTTGATTTTGATGGCACCACTAAACTAAAAACTTGACCCTTACATTAAACTTTTATGCTAACTAGTGTTGAATTTATTGTGTGATTACAGATTGATGAGTGTGAAAAGAAAAAGAGAAAAGACTATGAGAGTCAAAGCAATCCTGTTTTTAGGAGATACTTAAATAAGATTTTAATTGAAGCTGGAAAGCTTGGACTTGTGAGTATTTGATGGTGTGTTATTAATCTGAATAGTGGATATTTCATTATTTATTAATTTCAAATTATATAAAGAAGTGATAAAGCATCATTATGCTTTAACAGAGGCTAGCTGACTCACATTTTTTTTTTTTTTTTTTTTTTTTTTGAGACAGAGTCTCTCTCTGTTGCCCAGGCTAGAGTGCTGTGTCGTCAGCGTAGCTCACAGTAACCTCAAACTCCTGGGCTCAACATCCTCCTGCCTCAGCCTCCCAAGTAGCTGGGACTACAGGCATGTGCCACCATGCCCAGCTAATTTTTTCTATATATTTTTAGTTGACCAACTAATTTCTTTCTATTTTTAGTAGAGATGGGGTCTCGCTCTTGCTCAGGCTGCTCTCAAACTCCAGACCTTGAGTGATCCCCCCACCTCGGCCTCCCAGAGTGCTAGGATTACAGCCATGAGCCACTGCGCCTGGCCTTTTTTTTTTTTTTTAAACCAAAAGCTATGCAGACAGGATTAAAGGTACTAGCCTGCTTTGCAATGGTTTGGTGGAAGGCAATTAGTACAGACCACTCTTCTTTTTCTTACAGTTTGTGGGAATTTATTTATCTAACCCTGTGCACTGCTTTACCACTTAATTGAGGTGAGAAGGTAGGGTGATAATTCTGTCCTGACCCAACTTCTTATTTTCCACCATTTCCATACTTTCTTAGTCACATAATGTAAGATAATTATACATTGAGGAAAAGAAAAAAATGTGTTTTATGTAGTTTTTTCTCCTTGCTGTTTAGTTTGGCAAGTGTTGCTTTACAGAATTGTATATCATGTGCATGTTATTCATAATTAATGTTAAAATTTCCATTTTTTAGAGTATCATTTTTACTTTTGGGAGTGAAAGCATCAAGGAAACTTATAATTTAGTAACTTACAACATTTATAAAGCTCATTTAAAAGCTCTTAGATTTTTTTCTTTTTCTTATTGTGCATGTTACCAGAATTGGTTTAGAGAGTCAGAGGCCAGACTGTTGTTTTGGTCTGGCCATTAGCCCCAACCACCAGAAGCAGTAATGATCCCTGAAAATGAAAGGCTCTTACATCAACAGAAGGCAGGTTGGTGGAACTCGCTAGACTCCTATCTTCCTGTTACTCTAAGAAATGACCAAAAGGGAAAGGAGTGTTAGATGAGTAATTTAATAAACCACTTTATTCTGGACGTGTAAAAACAGATGTTCTCATATCTATATCCTCTAATCTGAGTCTTATAGCTGTATGCAGGGTGGAAAAGAACCTAGATGAGGAAACCAATGGAGCCAGAAATACTCAAGATGGAAATGCTTGGCAATACTTAGTTCCTGATTTTTAAAATATATTTATCACCAGGCGGGAGGCTCGCTCAAGGTCAGGAGTTCAAAACCAGCCTGAGCAAGAGTGAGACCCCCGTCTCTACTAAAAATAGAAAGAAATTAATTGGCCAACTAAAAATACTTTTTAAGAAAGTCTCACACTTGTTCCCCAGGCTAGAATGAGTGCCGTGGCGTCCAGCCTAGCTCACAGCAACCTCAAACTCCTGGGCTCAAGGCAATCCTCCTGCCTCCAGCCTCCCCCGAGGTAGCTGGGACTACAGGCCATAAGGCCACCATGCCCGGCTATGTTTTCTATATACAAATTTGAGTTGGCCAATTAATTTTCTTTCTATTTATAGTATAGACGGGGTCTCACTCTTGCTCAGGTTGGTCTTGAACTCCTGAGCTCAAACGATCCACCCTCCTTGGCCTCCCAGAGAGCTAGGATTACAGGCATGAGCCACTGCGTCCACCCCCCCCCCCCTTTTTTTTTTAAATAAAAAAGAGAGTCTTGCACTGTCACCCATCGCTCAAGAAGTGCGTGGCAATACATAGTACCACCTGAAGAGTCCAACACTCCTAACTCAAGTGACTCCCCTGTCAGGCTCCCAGAGTAATTTAAACCTATAGGTATGTGCCTGTCACACCTGGGCTAATTTTAAAAATTTGTAGAGACAGGGTGTTGTGTTGCCCAGCGTCTGATCTCGAGCCTGGACTCAAGTGATCTTGGACGTCCTAAAACCCTGGGATTACAGGCTGGAGCCCACGCCTTTTATCCATTCATCAGGATGGAAATTTGAGTTGTTCCTACCTTTTGGCTATTAGGAAAATGTTGCTATAAACATTCATGTACAAGTTTTTGTGTGGACATAATATTCATTCTCTCTGTGTGAGTACCTGGGAATAGAGTTGCTGGGCCACATGAAAAATACCTATTTTCTTATCATCTCAATGAGAATATTGTGCATCTGTGTATATTTTTTTATATGTGAATACCATTTTACTAGTTTATTAGTTCCTATCCATAAAGTGTTTCTTTCTTTTTATTTTTATTTTTTTTTTGAGACAGAATCTCACTCTGTTGCTGGGCTAAGGCTAAGTGCTGTGGCATCAGCCTAGCTCATAGCAACCTCAAACTCCTGGGCTCAAGCAATCCTTCTGCCTCAGCCTCCCAAGTAGCGGGACTACCGGCATGCACCACAATGTCCAGCTATTTTTTCTATATAATTTTTAGTTATCCAGCTATATCTCTTTCATTTTTAGTAAGACGGGGTCCTCGCTCTGCTCAGGCTGGTCCTCGAACTCCTCCTGAAACGATCCACCTGCCTCAGGCTCCCAGAGTGCTAGGATTACAGGAGTGAGCCAGCACATCCAGCCATAAGTGTTTTCTTAACACTAAAAGGAAGTAGTATATTGTTTTTATTATAGAAAAATCTATTTAAAAATACTTATATTTCATTATATGTATTAAACATTTTTTAACCTTATACAGGATGCTGTATTTCTTGCTCCTTTGTGAATGTTCGTTGCTGATAGCTGGTTATGCTCATGATGATGAATGGATTGACCCCACAACATGCTAACTATGATGCTGCTTCAGGACAAGAGAAAATCTCAGGTATTAAAAAAATGCCTGTGTGACCTGAACCGTTGACTACCATCAACACATGATTACAGTGAAAATACCGTAGTCACCTGAAAATACAAGCACAGAGATCTATATTTATTTTTCATAAACGAAGACACCCGGACTTATAATAAGCGATGTATAAATTTTTAATATAGGATACAAAATTACATTTATAAAAAAAAAATACAAAGCTCAAATAATCGTGTTCTTCATACTCTGCCCACAAAACAAACGCCTGAATTCCGATCCATGACATTCTTGCGACTCTATTTCCTTTATAACCATCTGGCCCGCCCAATCTCTCATGTCGAGCGAACCAGAGCTCTCATGGGCGACGACTGAGAAGGGGCTGCGTCAAGATGAGGCACAGGGCCTGCTCATCCTACTTTATACCGGCTCCATGACAAAATGCATGGATCTCGTGCAGATTGGCTTCGACCTGGCGCGCTCCCATCACTGGGTCTTTTTTGCAGGGTAGGGCTTTATTGCACAAATGCTAAAATCCTGCTAGGGCTATTATGGGTAGGTCTGTATTTTCTGGGGAAACACAGTCTACTATTTGTTACTCGTTTTACACAAGAGCTATGACGATGTTCTGTATCAATGATTAGCTGTTATGCAGAATACTTTCTTGACATTCATAAATCTAAGATTAGTTTCACAACCCATCATTCGAATTGTGGGTTTGCTCATGATGCAGCAAACTAATTTGATTTTCAATTCTAGTATATACCATTAAGCAAGCCAACTGACTGTAATGTCTTCGTATAACATTACTGCAGCAACTAAATTGATTTTAATTCTTAGTATATAGCATCCGGGACTTTCCACTTTTTTCTGTGGTTGCACTACAGTCTGAAGACTGTAACAAGCAGAGCTCATAAAAATGATGAAATCAAAATCTTACTCTTCATTAACTGGAAGGTTATTTTTACAACTGAACAAAGAAAAATCTCTCTACTTTGTTTTAGGTGAATAATTGGATTCAAGAAAAAGGATGTTGAGTTGCGCTGCCCTTGTCATATGCTGATGGAATTCCAGAATGTTATCACTCCAAACTGATTCTTTAACTCATAAGGTTAGATTTTCTTCATCCATAAATTTTATATTAAATTGCTCTGTTTTCTTGTATGTGGTATATTATTTGTTCTATGTGTTTTATGTATGATATGTCTATATATACTAAAATTTTCTTTAGTTACTCTACCCTCGTGGTTTCTCTTTAGTTTGGTTTCTCTAAACCAAGTACGCTTGTATTTTCTGTTAAATAATGTTTATCTCACTAATATTAGTAATTATCTTTGCCAGACTGTAAAAGGCTGTCTCTGGTGCAAGGAATCATGTTATTCATCGTAATTCTCCATCAGTCAGGCAGCACAGCGCTGGGGCACTAGATCACTCTCAACAAATGTAGCAATGAAGAAATGGGTATTACGCAGCTAATAGCCATAAGAGTTACTCTTAACAATATATAAAGGATTATTAAGATTTAGTGTGTAATAGCTTATCATCCCTCCTTCATTTATCCAATCATTTTTTTATTTAATGTAGCTGGAAGTGAGGGTTTATACAACAAGGAATAAGTCAAGGTTAAGGGATTGATGTCATTTCTCATTATTTGTGCTGTGTGAAACCACCCTCTTGTTGGTTGTGTAGGCAGATGGATCTTGATAGCATGCGTAGGGGCCTGGAAGGAGAGCAGGGTGGCAATGGAGATCAGGCAGGGTACAGATGTCCAGTATGCTGAAGCGCTCAAAAATGAGGCAGTGACAGGGGTTGAAGATAAGAGGCAAGTATAAAAGCTTTTACAAGGTAGAATAGACAAAGGTGGATGCTGAGGGAAGGACCAAGGGATAAGGGATAGAGAAGAGCCAAGTGAATGGTGAGGTTCCTAGCTGGAGAGACTGGGAGGAGTTGTTAATTGAGATTCCAGAATATATCCCAATCAACCTAGATCTATAAGTCACCACCTGCTGTGGTTCTTTTTAATGTGAATATTGGTCCTCACACTAAGTGCTAGCAAAGAAATGCTTGGATAAAATTTG